AGCTCAATACATAAAAAAAAAATTTTAACTTCAAGCAATTGCTTAGAAACGTCCATTAGCTTGATAAAACTGAGAACAAAAGCACTATTAATACAAGCACAGGCAGCTGACTTAAAAGATACTTGGACTCCAAACAATTTTAAATTGCAGTAATCAAGTCTAATTGCAGCGGCGCACACTTACTATTACTATCATGATTGTACTATAGACAGAAAATCTTTCAAATCGATTTTGGGCGCTTTTTAACCATCTGTTGTAATGTTTTTAGATACTAAATATCTAAATTTATAAAATTTTTTATCGGAATGAATTAATTGATTGATATTTAATAATTTATTCGGTAGGTTTATCTGGTATTGATATTGATTATATTGATATTGTTATTATTGAACGAAGCTAACTCTAGACATAGTTAATACTACTTCTTTTAAGAAAGGGACTTGGAGTATAAACGACCAAGTTTGCTTAAATTTCTATCCAACCAAGAACTCAGGAGGCAAAGGTGGGTGCGTAAACTTTTGGTCTGCACTCTCCGATCCTGTATCACCCTGGATTCTTCTCGACGTATCTTTGTAAAAGGTATATACCTTCTAGTCAATCTCTTGCTACTCCAAGTCCCCTAAGATATCTGATCTAAAGTTCGTGCTAGTTATATATATAGAAAATATACTTTTGTCTGCTTTAATTGATACTAAATAAAATTGTTGTTTTCTTGAAATTGTTGTTTTCTTGAATACAATCATCCTTGATGAAAGGTCGCTTGGAGGCGCACTTGCTTACAGCCATGCATTGGGTCTTCTTTGCATTTATTCTGAGCCCAGCGTAGGAGCTGTAATGAACGTAGTAGATATAGATGTTCAATGTTGTAGAGTGATTTCAAGAGTAGTGGTCCACATGGGTCTGAAAAAGCCGTACAGGCTCTTGGGTCCTTATCCTTGTCACTAGTCCCAATTGGATTCACTTTACACAAAACATGAACGTTTACAATTTAGACGTACACATTGGCACGATATTTATTAGAAAGCAAACAGTATAAAATAATACGTGCGTGCGCGGCTTGAGCCGCGCCGCATAACAATTGATGCGTTTAGGGGCTGGAGTACGCGTGTTTACAGATTAATGAATTGTTGCATTGTAAATATTTAAAGTTGACGATATATTATGATCTAATAGTAAATTTTTCAAAGCTGGCTTTGGACTTAGGTAAAATTATAACTTATTTATTTAAAAGAAAAAACCACGGATAGTTTTAAATTTACATAGTCGTATAACTATAATCAAGTTAATCCTGTTTTCAAGAATGCGCGGCTTTGGCGGCCAGTTATTGACTTGTACATAAAATTGAATTTTAAATAGAAATGTGAATGTATTAAAATTTAAAACTTTCAAAACGGAGGCTTATAAATATTATTATATTATGATTGTAAAATAAAGGATAAAATTTTAAATTTGTTTCACTAAAAAATTTGTTTCACTAACTTATAGATCAGTTGATTCCTGTAGGCCTTCCCCTGAGTTGTCCATAATAGCCATGTCATCAGCATAATCGGTGTCCAGAATGACCTTTTCCTCGACCGTCTTCATCTCTTTCTGCAGCACTGCGCCGTAAAAGTCTGGAACACTCTCCCAAAATATGTGAGCGGCCAAACTGCTCAGGTGGTGACCGGGATTGGCAATTTTGAGCTATCCCGGTCCCGGTCAAATGCTGATTTATTTATTTATGATCCCGGTCCCGGTTAATTCGGGATTCTTGGTCCCGGTCCCGGTCCCGGTCACGGTCAATCACTCAAATTTGCCGGGATTTTGACCGGGATCTTTTACATAATTTCATTCACTGTGATTTTAAGTTTTTCCTTTCATTCATTGTCAATTTCATCTTTAAACATCCTCTGAGCCAAATACAACAATGTTTAAAATTGCTAAAAAAGTTTGAGTAATAAATTATGATCATGAATTAACCAGTAATCGACCGGAATTCCCGGTACCGGGAATCCCGGTACCGGGATTGGCAATTTTGAGCTATCCAGGTCCCGGACAAGTCACATTTTGTATCCCGGTCCCGGTCAGGCCTGAAATCATGTCCCGGTCACCTCCTGAAACTGCTCTAGTCTGGTTTCAAGATATATTTGAGGTCAGTTAAAGGGATGCCCTACCGGGTGAAATACCAACCCTCAACCATGGAATACACACCACCCTGTTAAAATTAAATAATACTAGACTAGTGCTACTAGAGAGTTGGTCCGCCGATCACATGATGACAGTAGAAGTGACTGCTTTGATTCTAAACTTTTCAATAGTGAGGTTAAAATTAAAAATTAACGAGCGAGGTTATGGTAATTTCTTCAATTAAGTTTTCTAGTCAGGTTTACAACTCGGTGTTAAATTGGTTTTCGTCCTGGTCAATGCCAAATACAAGACAGTGGACAGTGCCATATCGAAAAGTACCAAAATCATTAATTTTTCATGGATGGATGTATCTCTCATGACATTGAAACGATAACAAAAGTGTGACAGATGACGGATGACAGATGACAGATGACAGATGACAGATGACAGATGACAGATGACAGATGACAGATGACAGATGACAGAGATATTCAACAAACTGAGCAATAGGTTTATCATAAAGCAAATGCAAAGAGCGAGTGAGAAAGAAAAAGGTATAAAAGTTTGTATCTGATCTCAGACACACGCAAGCGCGCTATATGATCACGTGACTTAAACACTGCAATATCATTGGTCATCTTTATATCCAATGCGAAATACAAAATAGCGCACTTTACCTATAATCCATGGCGAGTGAATTAGTAAAACCGGCGATTTAGTAGGAGCGTGGTAGGACATATCAGTCGAGCATGCTGAATCACTCTAAGGCCAGGTAGCGCAGTTGGTTACAGCGCCAGCCTTACAATCTTAAGGTTGCGAGTTCAAATCCCACTGTCTGCCTGGTCGTGGGGTGAGCGTCGTTGACGTTCAGCTAAGGATCATGAGTGGTCTATGCAGCCCCCCCCCCCCCGGTCTACTCAGCCAAATATTCGAGAAATCGGGTGTGAGGGTTAAATGAGGAGCTGCACATTGCAGCAAAGTCTCGGGCGAAGAAAGTATGGTACACACTACCTTAACCGTCACTGGCCAAATAATCCTTCGGCTTCCTGTAATTGGCTGGTTGCACTTGTGTAACAATGTGGCTGTTGGAATACACTGAAGTAAAATAAGTGTCTTGATTTAAAAAAAATTCCGAATCACCCCATGACATAGGGTTAAAATGCTCCACTGACGAGATATTGGCGAAAAACTGTCTCGATCACGTGATATGACCGTATAAGGAAGTTAGTCTAATTTCTCGTTAGGGTTTCAGCATATGTCTTTGTTAAGGTTTGGGTTAGGGTTAGGGTTGGGATCAGATTAGAGGGTTACGGTTTCGAAAAGTTGTTCAGAACCAGCTAGAGAACGGGTTAAAAAAGTCACGTGACAGTCGAGTGTAGAGTGATTAATCATCATCCCATATCAGTCAAAAATGAAAAATGGTCATTCAAACAATATATAAATACAATTAAATCAAGTGATGGGGGGGGGGGGGGGTACCACTGTCCATTTTATCCCTGCACAAAAAAAAACTGAAAAAAGACAAAGACAAAAGGGACAAGAGGGACAAAAGGGACAAAAAAAGATAATAGGGACAAAAAAGACAAAAAAGACGGGGACAAAATGGACAAAAAGACAGGGACAAAATGGACAAAAAGGACAAAAAGGACAGGGACAAACGAGACAAATAGACAGGGACAAAATGGACAGTAAAGAAAATAAGGTCAATTATCCGTTGAAATGCAAAAAATAAGTTCAGGCACAGTTCCAACAAGCTAATAAGTTGGGTAAATTCAGACAGAACAGTAAAGTCAATCTTGGTTTTATATCAGCCTTAGTGTACTCACTGTTCAAGACAACTTGGTCTAGTCCGATATGCCTGCTCACTGATTCACATTTGACGTTTGAGCTGAACTTGCTTTGCAAACAACACTCAAAAAGCAAGACAACTAATATTGCACTGAGGGGATACAGAGGAAGAGATATAACTACTCTGTTTAGTTCTAGAGCTAGTTATTAGATTGAATATGGATTAAGGTATATAAGATATTAAAAGATGATGACTTTTTTGATATCACCACTTGATTAATGGGATTAATGAAATATTGACTGAACCGTGTACACATTTATTTATGTGATGCCGTTGATGAATTCTGCTTATTTCAGTCCCTTCAGTGGTTTCATTTGATTCTAAGTACAGCAAAACACTGACATGAAAATATAAATTGTTGATGTCGAGTAGAATATATACATTCTCTACATTTGAGCTTGTCTAATTTTTTGTCTCATTTGTCCAAAATATTTGTCCCTTTTGTCCCTAGTATTGTCCATTTTGTCCCCAAAACACTGTCCTTCACAAAAAAAATGTAAAAAAAGAGAAAGACAAAATGGACAAAATGGACAGTGGTACCCCCCCCCCCCCCCCCAGTGATACAATTGGGAGAGTATAATCAATTCAAGTGTTCCAATTATCAGAGCACAATACATATAATACGGGTAGGACATATTCGAAATTTTCATTTCATCAAAGTTTTCTCCAGATATACTGCTTCCAGTACTTTGATGGCGACTTGTGTCACTCTCGCCGACCTCACTGATTGGTCACTGGTCAAAATTTCAGTCAAAACCGTGAAATTTCGGTCAAGGGGACAACAGAAAAGCTCCTCTTCAACAATCTTCTAAAATCTCTTTTATATTCTGATGATTTTCCGTTTATCAAAGCTTTCTTTGGGAATAGAACTTTGAGTAACTCAGTCGTGTCTTGTGCCATCCTCAGTGACCTTGTAAGATGGTAATTCAAGGAAAATTCGGTCAAAACAGTAAAATTTGGGTCATGGAAAGCTGAAATTCGAATATAAGCTTGCTATTTCTTTATTAAATAATTGAAATTAATCGAATTAAATGCATTAAACATTAATTAAATATCCTATAATCAGATTGTATGTTTATATGGTCAACTGCAAGTAAAAACATCTACTAAAGGCAGCAGTCAGAGGAATCATATTATATCAAAATGAGTGACTGTGACACGGACAAAGTCTGTAATAACTGGTTAGATTATTTATCTTACTGTTTTGTTGAAAATTTCTATTGATTGAATTATAATTAGTTCTTTAGGAAGAGTTTGGTCAACTCTAGTCATCCAACCCGAACATACGAACTGAGAACTGTGAATGACTTTTTGGTATTGAAAACAGAGACAGCTCGTCTCGTGACATGTTTTCATTGATTTATTTAAGGCTTTTATACGTTTCTACACTGTATATTCAATGATTTATCAAAACGTTTATTACAGTAAGAGAGACATTCCGGCAGCTAATTTGGACCTGCACTTGTCACATTGTATTAAGAACCTGCGACTCTGCACACTGTGTGATGATCCTATTCCGATCAGAGAGTTTGAGGATCACATTAAGGAGGAACATGCTGAGGTGTGTACAGATTCTGTATATAATTTATGTGATAATTCAGCCACCCTGAGCTGCAAAATATTGAACAGTTTGTAACTTTGCATAGTTTGCAAGTTTTGAGTACTTGTCGAAGCTGAACAATGTTTAAATAACGTCTTATAGAAGCATGCATTACTTACTACTTTTAAAATAGCATAACCTTTGTAAAAAACGAGATATAATTCCAAACGTTCTACAGGCATTTCAAAACTTACCAAAATAATATCTAAAATAACAAGATTTATAGAAAGATAAACTTCCTGTTTATATTATCTTAACACATCCAGGTTGAGTGTAGTAAATGTAAGACGAAGTTCCAACAAGGAAACGAGGAACTCCATCTAGTGAGTGATGCCATTTAATTTTAGTTTTAAATGTGATTTACTGAACAGACGCACATGTACATCGCAGTTCAAGTTTCCTTACAACTTATTTTATTATTATACCACATAAAGTTCAGTTATAAACCACTCCTCTTCAGAGCGTGTGTTCAGAAGCTCCTCTTCTGTGCGAGTTCTGCTCAGTGGACTTCCCGCGGAGACTGTTACCTGCGCACGTCAACGCGTGCGGGTGCAGGACAGAGGAATGCGAGGAATGCAGTGAGCGGGTCATGTTGAGGGAGATGACCGGTCACGTGTGTAGATCCAGGTGAGAACGAGGATTTTTTAATGTTTTAAATCAAGTTGATACATCTCATTTTATATGATTCAATGTACTAGCTGTTTAAAATGTTTGTTTTCAGTTTTTGTGATCATAGAAATAATCGGCTGATTGACAATGTATAAAATAACACGAACATTCCTTACTGCACTGTTATCTTAATGATAACATTATCAGGAGAGAAGCAAGGAGAACTAGACTTGCACCAACAGACTTAACGAGAACATCTACATCCCCTTACGCATTACAACCTGTAAACAATAACTCAATGAATCATCATGAACTTATGGAGGACTTGCAAAGAAACGACATAGGTCAGTTGTAAAGTTAAGGTTTAGCATGTGTAATGTGTGTGTGTGTGTGTGAGATCTGATACAAGGATTGAGTGTCCCAGTTGGGCTGCCAGCATTCTTAGGTTGAATTCCACGAATGGTTATTACAAATGCTGTGTAAGGTATGCCTAGTAAGTAGTCCTGTAAAGTGCATGTACAATAATTAGTATGTTAAGTGTTGTAGTTCCTTACTTGTCCAACATTTGATAAACTATGTACATTGTACATTGTACATAGGCTATGGACAAAATGTCCCGGTCGAGCCTTGTTTGTGCTATGTAACATAGCACAGATTCTTGTCATGTTTCGCGATGTAACCAAGACGACTGCCACAAAAAGTAGAGTTTAGCATGGTTGACGGACATACTCCGAGCTTTGTAGTTTGATGTACACTGTATTATCAAACCAAACAAAACCCCTTCCTCTTGGGAGGTATAAAATATAATATATTCCTGGTAATTACACTTGATCGGTAATCTTTCTTCGCTCTTATGAGTGGGTCGATCATATATTTTGATGTTGTAATTAATTTAAAACACTACAAATCTATTACATTTATTGAGCTATGTAAGTTATTATAACGTCCTGTCCATGACAAAGGCATTTTGCCGAAAATTCGACAACTAATTTGTTTTGAAACACTAATGGAGACTCTCACTTCGTCACCAACTATCATCAACAAATTATACTTGATGTTGAACGTGTTGCTCTAGAGTCTAGAACATTCTTTGCAAATGGGTTTGGTAGAATGGTTAACTGTTTTACCGCTTATAATAGTAATGTTTATAGTCACTATTATGCTATAGTCTATCTACAGATAGTAACTTATTAATTAATGATAAATTATTCAGGTACAGATTACTTGGATGAGCTGATAGCTACAGAACACTTTAACCCTCTCAATGGTAATACTTTGTTTTCGTGCATGTAAATATTTGTCAGTGTGTATGTGCATTGATCTGGCAAATTTTGCCTCTTAAGAGACGAAGAAACGTATAACATGTTTTGAAATTTAGTAATTGTTATTGATGTCGTAATAGAGCTTTGTCAGATCATGGCAAAATTACGTTATTAAATTCTGAAAAAGATTTAGGCATAATCATGACGTCTAATCTAAATTTTAATAGCCAGGCCGATGCTCTATATGGTAAAGCTAACCAAAAATTTGGCATGCTTAAGAGAAATTGTCATTTTATTAATGATCTGAACAAGAGAAGAGTCTTGTATCTTACTCTTGTACGCTCAATATTCGAACACTGTCCCATCATTTGGCGACCAGCGTCCAGTAGCACTATCAATAGGCTTGAAGGATTGCAGAAAAGGGCCCTCAAATGGATTCGTAATGATTACGGTGTAAGCTATAGTGTAGAGGAAATCTATAATGCCCATTGTAAACAGTTAAATATTCTGCCCCTAAAGTACAGGTTTGATTACCATGATCTCAAGTTCTTTCATTCCCTAGTGCATCAATACCACCCATGCACCACTCTGCCTCAGTACCTTACTTTCTTCTCCGGGTCAAGCCGACTGAGAAGCTCACATCTTGATCACTTATCAGTAATATCTTCAATTCCACCTGGCTCAGCTATATCTAAATCTTACTTTTATCGAGCTCATCTCACTTGGAACCGACTTCCTCTTTCCCTTCGAGAGATTATCAGACCAGGTGTGTTTAAAACAGAACTTATTAAACACATCTGGAAGGAACATGTTTGTACTGCATCTGTAGATATTGACCCTAGTTCAGATCCTGACAATTCTTTTTCTCCTGACTACGGGTAGTGTATTTCTCTATTATTTTTGTTTTTATTTTTTTTGAGGTACTCATCACGCATTTTTGCTTTATTCGGATACAATTTTGATTTAGTCTTTTATATTCAATTATTTAAATTTTATCGTTAAAACTTCATTCCATTGGAAATATTACAAATCAGCCAATTGTAATTGAGAATTTTTGGGTTGTGGCAATTATTCTTAAAAACCTAGAAATGCCTCCTAAGTTCACAGCTCATATTATTTGCCCATTTTTCTCCTTCTGCACTTGGGGCCCAATGTAATTGCTCGACTTTTCATCAGGTCTCTCGAGGCCTTTTGTTTGGTTATTTGGGTGTATTGGTGTCCCCTGATTGTTATCATCGCTGTACACTTGTCAAGGCATTTTTTGGTTTCTCTAGTCCATTTTTAGAAATTCTATACAACATTGATATTGTAATAAATTCTGATGATAATAATTGAAAGATTTCAATTAAAAAAATTGAGTTGTGAGTCATAACACGGCATAATATGACCACATGACCACGTTTTCATAAGCAGACGTCATCTCTCTGCTTCCCAGCGTATGCTTCTTTTAGGATGCACATTTGTATGTGTCTCTGAACATTAATTAACTTGTCTACATGCGATAAAATCAAGAAGAAAGGAAGACACCTTGCAGTAACTGAGACGGAAGTTTTTTATCTCAATGTTAGCTGTCTCATGAATTACCCGAACCAACAGAATCCTTAAACCATTACGACATCATGATAATCAGGCAATCTAACAGATTTACATTATGAAAAAGGTTTAGATTTTTAAAACTTATTGTTAACAAATAATTTCAATCAGGATCCACAGTTGATCTGGACGCAGCACTAGCAGCTCAGATGGCACACGATGAGCAACGCCAGGCAACCAGCCTCAATAACAACCCCATTCACACCGCTGTCGGTTAGTTGTTACTACTCCTCTGCATGAGTTAATATTTTCATGCATGTATATTGTATGATGTATAGTTGTTACCATGTGTTTCTATCGTTGTTCATTAAGTTTATGTTCGTGATATTATATTTTAGCCCAGTGAATTTATGTTGTATTAATTTCGCAGGTACTGCTGCAACTCCGAGACCTCGCTCTATTGGTGGGTTGAGATAGATAGTTTAGTTTTAAAAGTTTGTTTCTGTCGATTATGTAATGAAACCACCAGCAGTGGGCACTCGGCATATGTTATTGAGGCGCTTCTTTAAAACGGTCTTCGGCATTCCGGAACGCGCGGTGTCTAAGTTATGGGGTACATCGCGCGCGGTGTCTAAGTTATGGGGTACATCGCGCAACGCGCAAGCTCGAATATTGAGCCGCGCGGGCCGGCCGGCCGCGCGTGGTCGCATGTTCGTTTACGTATCTAGGGGGCCGTCGGCTCAGTACAGCATCTTACCTTACCAACTTAAAAGTTTGCGTATCTACTGATAGCATTAGTCATTACTTATACTCACTTATAACTTAAATAAATTATAAGTACTACTGTACCTTTTTATTAATGCTTTCAAACTGAAATATGGATAGAATAAAGCCTCAATTAAGTGGACGAATGAAACAATATTTGAAGATAAACTGTAATCAAAATTGTTGAAACCACTAACGAGGGAAGTCCAATACCCCGGAAGAGATTGGAATATCCTAAAAACAGTTATACATATTCCCTCAAAGCATACATTCTCCAAAAGTAGAGGTTCCTGTTAGGTGATATGAGTAAAGTGTTGAAGGAGTTGCTCAACTAAGTAACCGGTATCTTGATTTAACAATGTTTGGTTGCATCCTAAATTGAGTCGTAATAATGACTACAAATTATAATACGCTGTGAATTTGCTTCCTATAAAAAGTTAAAACTTGGTTTTGGTAGAAAGTAGATGTAATTTATTAGTTAAAATGTCAAGCGTCAAACCTTTCAAAATATTAAATTAGATATTTAACTTCTATAAAGTCACGAATAAATTCACAAAGTATTTAATTTAATTTGCTGCAAGAAGTCTCTGGTTAGCATCGTTGTGCATTTGTACGAGGCATCGGTTGTCACGTCTTCCTTTCAATGACTTCCAAAACACACATATTCCTATTAGAATCAATGGAAATAGGATTGCCATAAAAATGATGGCAGGGATTGAATGATTGGGTTTGATATTTTCCCCGGGTTTGATATTTTCTTCGGGTTTGCCTTTTTCTTCGGGTTTGTCTGTTTCTTCGGGTTTAACACTTTCAATAAATCCTATCTCTAAATCCCCTTGGTTACGTGCTGCTTTCTTCAAAACGTTCGATGTCATCTTGTGTCCCTCGTCCAATGTAATTTCTTGACCACTGAGAAGGGGCAAAACCTGTTCAGCCTCCTGACCTAACACATTTCCTGCTGGGAAATACTGGCAGACTACCATCGTCCCCGTTCCTTCTACAGCTGACGACCCGCAGTTTACTTCTTTTGTGTTCTTCCAGACGATCTAAAATCACGAATTGTCACGACAGAACTAATGCTATTAAGTATATTCTATGAAGGATTATAAACTTTCCCACTTTTATATAACTAATACATATGCAATTAAGTGTTCATACAGGAACTTTACCTGGGTAAAATGTCCAGTTTGAATCGTATCAGACAGTTTAAGTCCGCGCTTTAAGGCAGATAAGTGGAAATCCCAATATTTGATCTCTCCAACGTACCTAAATGAATATTATCGAATGACTGTAATGTATTCATTTTGAATGCGTTATTTCGCGTACTTAAATGATCACCTCTTAACAAATTGTTGGCGTCCATAATCAATTTCATACAGCATTGCTTCGTAACAGTATTATAAGACAGGTGAGCCCTAAACTGAATGCTATCTAATATTGCCACTACACGTTTTGCTTCAGTGGCAAATCAGTGAAAAGTCGCAAGAAAAAGCAAAAGTGCTTCGGTAAAATGATTATAATTGATTCTTCAATTCTTGTCAAAGGTGGTATATAATCCACCTTGAAGGAGTAACTTGAGTACGATATATGATTAGTAAAGGTCCCGACTCACCATCGTAAAACTGCAGCAAGGTCAGCGTTTATTGGCGTGGTGAGATTCACAGTGCTTTGATAATAGATATTTTCTCCGGTAAATTCATTTCCAGAATGGTTTATGTTGAAATGTTCGGTTGCTGCAACCACCGAAAGGATCAGATCATTGGCCCATTCCAATGAATTGAATCTGTGAGTATGATCTGATTCACCGAAACATAGATCTGGGATACCCTGTCATAAAAACATTCAATTAGCATATTTACAATAATATCTTATCGGAACTCTTCCACGATGTATTTTAAAGTGTAGTTAACAATTATTGCATTGGAAATAGATATCTGATCGAATGGTTTCCACATTTTTCACGTTTGGTTACGATAGACGCCGTATTACCTTATCGGCTCTTAATTTTCAGGCCCTATTTCATATCGTGCCCAAAAAGGGGCATCTATATATATTCTCGTTCCGCAATAATTACGGCCAGAGATATTTCACACCAGCAAACTGAATGAACAAAAACATCTGATGTTGACAAAACTTTGTTCGATATTAGTGTCAATGTTTGCGTAAAATTTTAGTAGTAGGGCCAGATTGTTGAGATACTGACATTTCAAGACTGTATCTTCGCACAGTGACATTGCACAAAGGTTGCTAGAAGGATGAATATTCATTTATTTTGGCACCAATTGTTGGCATTAGATTAATAAACACTAGCAGGAACCCGTATAATATAACCCTAAACGGTGTCAAGACTCAAGATACTAAAATAATTATTACCTATTTAATTGGCGTTTTTGACACCACTTGGGGGTCCAAATTTTCAGCTCTAAAATCATTATTCCTTGGCCAATTTTTTATTTTTTCATGCTGATTTGGAGGCCATTAAAGCATTTGACTCAGCCAAAAAAGTTTCAGTCGTATTTCTTTTACGGTTTTTGCGGAAAGTCGCGTTAAAGTTGATGCCGTGGTGTCAGTAAAATGGCACAGATATATATCGTATCGCTTTATATATAGTAAGATGCTGGACTATTTTGTTAGTACTGTCGCCTTTCCTTACCTCGTGGAGACGTCTTAATTCGTTATGCATATCAACGAATGCCTGTTCGGCAGCAGTGAGATCGGTCTTGCATATTCCTCTAACCCGAACGAAAAACATCACAGCAAGACAGATGAAGTTCATTTTTAAAGACATATTGACAGCAAACTAAAACATAAAATCGACACAACCATGCTTTCAGCTTTTGCTTAAATTGTAAGTCGGCTCCTTCATAAATGTTCTTACACATAACAGTTCAGTTTTTAAATTATACGTAATCTTCAGATTGATTCGGAATTAAAGCGTATATATTCCTGATTTTCCAAAGCGTAGATTCCCTGAAATGGGATTTCTTTAAACATCACTTCTATCAAATAAAATACAAAATTTAGAATATCTAAAAAAATCTTAAGACAGCTGTACTTCAAATCCTAAAACTCTTGTCCGTGTCCAGAATAATTGGATTCCTCCTCAATCTTAACCTCTTGTTCCAGCTTGTAACCAGGACCGGGAAAAGATGCAGCGTTCTCAGAAACATAGATACCATAGTTGCCATAAACAGGTCCGCTCCCAAATCTCCAGCCCTTCCCGTGATCTGTTCCCTGAAGTCGTATCGGATTAGCACGAAAATCACATGATGGGTCAGTGATCGAACAGTTTTGTATATTGGATATCTCATGACCCCACAGAGGGTTGAGTGCCTTGCCGGTGAGAGGGTTGCATCCGAAATGGTTTCCCAGTCCGTGGGTGTTGTCGTCATTTACTCCTATTGGGGACAAGTTCCCTCCCGTGAGAACTATTCTGTGTCCATTGTCAGCGTGCACCCAGTTAAAAGCAAGATCTCCCCCAACAGAAAATACTGGATCATCTCCCATATTCTGCGCATTCGCACTGACGTTCTCTTGAAGCGGACCTCCTTCAGTGACCACCTCTCTCCCTGGGTTCATTGCTTGGAATCTAGAGAGAAGTGATCTACCCCCCTCCTTGAACCTGAATACTTTGACTGCATCTACTTCGCCTTTCTGATGTCTAACCAGAGCTATGTAGTTGACTGCGTGTTTCCAGACTACACGGTTCAGGAAATCTTTTGTCAGGGCCTGGCTGTAAGTCCCAATAAAAACATCGTCAATCCAGCCAGTGGTGTAGTCCATCACGTGACCGTCGGCGGGGTTTAGGTTCATGGCAAGTTGCCAGATCTTCGTGTCAATTCTTTCAATCCTTTCTATTGATCCTGCACGAACCAAACTCGCTACGAAAGCGAATACGATCGAAGATATAAAAATCATGTCGCAAACAATATGTTGGAAAAAAATTAAATGATGCGAAATACAACAAGTGTGTCAAAAATTTATGTTTTTTTACATTTAAATTAGTATAGATAAGATGAAAGTTGACAGCATAATTATCAGCGTAACCAGTATACTAACAAAAACGGTCCACTCTAATTTTCAAATTTCTGTAAAATATGTTTTAAAACTATGTCTTAATTGATGTAATTTCAGATTCAGATAACATGATGCTACCATGTGAATTCTGCGAGGCAATGTACCCGATTGAAGAGCTCATTCTCCACCAGGTATGTGCATTGATGTCTGGAATTCTCTGATCTTATGGTCGAAACCCAATTTCATGTATTAGGGGTAGTTCACATATTACGTAATCACTTTTTCTCCCCCCCCCTCCGGAATCAGTTGTACACATAGCTATTGTGTTAAAATTACGCTGTCGTTATCGTTTAGAAACCCCCTCCCTCCCCTTCAGTAATATGTGAATTGTGAACGACCCCTCAAGGCTGGAGTAACATCTTCGTTGTTCTTTCCACATTGGTTTATATTGCTTGACACATACTCACAAATACTTATAAATACATACTTATACAGCGAAGAAAGTATGGTACACACTACCTTAACCGTCACTGGCCAAATAAATCCTTCGGCTTCCTGTAATTGGCTGGTTGCACTTGTGTAACAATGTGGCTGTTGGAATACACCGAAGTAAAATAAGTGTCTTGATAAAAAGCTTATATATCTTTATCTTAGCTTTTTATCTTCTCTTTCAGACAGGTTGTCTAGACAACAGTATAACGATCAGTAATCCTGCTATACCTGCTCCGGTCCAGGTGTGTAGTTACAGAATTGAGATAATATATATTTATGGTCATATTTTATAAGTTTGTGGTGCTTTATTCATTGTTTCGAGAACATGTCAATTGTCAAGGTTAAACGTTAATATAGCCACTTGAATTTCCACTAATATAAATAGCAGAATTTGCAAGACAACCTCTCTCGCAATGGTTCATATTCCCAGAAAATGTTTCACGATTTTGTCTTCAGATGAATGACGTTTACGACAGTTTTATACCCTGCGAATTTTGTTGCAAACAATTCCCTCTGTCTCTTGTAGCTCAACACCAGGTTAGTCTACGTCATACTGCAGTTATAAATCTCACCTTCATTATTCTTTAAATTTAATGAAGATCACCAATTATAGTGCTGGCAAGCGCGACTGTCGAGTATAATTCCATACTATACTCTGACAGCCATTTTACTTATTAGTGTTAGTCAATGATGCATTTATACTCATCGATTGTCGATCACTTTTAATTTGTCGTCCAATTGAAAGCTGATTTTCTAATAGAATACTTTATTTTTAGGCGGGGTGTACACCGACAAGAAGAGCTCCCTCCTTCCCTGACATATTAGACGAGCGACCCATTAGACCAGCAGTAACGGCAGCAACTGATCACGAAATACAAACACTGGACCAAGAACTACGAACATAGGACCAAGACCTACAAACACTGTGCCACGAGCTGGAAGCAATCCCGCGGCCAGGGCTATAAATCGTACTCCTCAGGCTGGCCGCAACAAACCTAGTGCTAACAAACGTCGTGTCCCTGCCAGAAACAATCGACCAGTATTACCTGACAGCTCTACAAGTGGTGACGGATCAGAGCAAAATAACGAACTATCTCTTGTTGGTAGGCCCGGTAACTCTAGACCCAATAACGGGACTCGTGGCATTAGAAAAGAACTTGTCCCAAAACCTAAGATAACACTATCAGCTGCCGGGAAAGAACCCGCCAGAGTGAAAAACACCAGGGTCACGAAATCAAACAACATGAACGATTTGGGGAAAGCAACTGCTGCCATTATATCAGTTCCTGCAGTGGTCGTGCCGAAAAGGAGACCCGTAGCAATCGCACCGAAAACAGGTGCAAATAACTCTTCGTCTGACAACAACAGCACCGAGACTTGGTCCACACTATCTCCTAAAATCATGAACAAAAACCCCCACAATCTCAAAAACGGAAAATCACAAAACGGCCGGAAAACCGTGAACGGGCCACCGGAAAACAGTAGCGCTTCCGGAGTTCAAAACAATTTTCCTGGAGCCAGCAAGAAAGCTACATCGTCTAAAGATTTTAGGATCAATGTTTCCTCGTCAGAGAATCTGCGGGTTCGAGAGAACATTCTCAGCAAATATCAGAAAGATAAAACACTAGTTACCGCTGGTTCTAGCTCGAAGTCGGATGAGACCAGCTGAAATTTCTTACATGTCAACGGAGATCATCTAAATTAATTCTTAATGATGTTGGCGTTTGTTATTGAAAACGGATTGTTCATATTCATAAATCCGATTGATAGTTAAAATGGAGTAGTCAGAAAAAGTTGAAATTTAAAAATAACTTCCATCTTTTTAAAAACAAATCGAATGTGTGGTTATGTTAATAGTTTTGATACTGTAGCGTTTTGATGTTTCTTATATTTGTTTCTTCGCACGGGCTAGTGATTATTGAAGATTTCCACATGTTCTTAAAGTTTGCCTTCTTCATGTATATCATCATCTTGATGATACAAATCTTGATGTTGTAAATTTTTGTACGATAGCTGGTGGCTTTTTAATTATCACTACATTTTAAATTCATACTAATTCTCGATTAGTTTATGGTTACGTATAAACAATTTTTTCCGAAAAAGTCGGATTGTGGGCGTGGATCTGGACTGTTAGTTTTGTAAATTGTAATTAATTATTCAAACTAATAGTAGCAGAGTTTTACTTTTTAAATTTAAATGTTTACAATTACTGTAAAATTTTACTGAGTTTAACTAGCTGATACCAAACTGAAACAGTGGACTTTTAACCCTGATCTAAACTTTAATTCCTTTACACTTTAGTATAGTTCTCCCCCTTTATACTCTATAGGCCCCACTGATAGTAATAATGAATGTTGATGCGGGCTATGTTCAATATTCAGTACACTCCACACAATACCATTACACATTACAGCATTAGCTTCCCTTTCTCCGTCTTCACAATTACTCCGGACTCTCACTTCTCAGTGTCCCTCTCCCTTTAGCCGTTCTATGTAAAGTGCAGCGTGTAGTAGTAACACGTGGACCAGGTCCCTGCCATTATACTCCCTTCTACGTAGATAAAGTCCACGTGACTCACCATCTCACTAGCGTAGCACCATTGTGCTAATGTTCACATGACGGCAAGTAAACCGATATCTTCCATTTGTTTAGGTTAAGAACTGAGAGAGAGTTAACGACTTCGTTCTGAGTTGCTGCTGTGTTTTCGTGTTGTTCTTTGTAGACAGTATTTTATAATGTACCACCGCTTCAACTGTTTCCAGTCCCACATAGAACTTGAATGTTAACAGCTTAGCCAGCTTCTGGTGCTTTGACATGGGCGTTCATTTATGTACTGTCTCATTTTTTGTATGAAACTATGCTTTATAAACCTACACTCAGATACCGCGTGCTTAGAGTTAGGGGTCGTCCACATATTACGTAATCAGCCGAGGGGGGTTTCCAAATGATTACGGCTTGTGTACTTTTGACACAAAAGCTGTGAAAAACTGATTACGGAGGGGGACAGTAGAGGTAAAAAATTGTCCAAAAAGCGATTACGTATTGTGAACGAACCCTAATCGTAACTGCCCCCGCAATCGGTTCAATCGAAATTTGGTCGATACTGGTACAAAATCTTTTACTATCCAACATTTTCAATTTCGTACTCTATCCAGCTTTCTAATTTTGTTCCATAACCTGATCCTGTTTCCATTTTCAGACAATTTTATAAAATTATGAGTAGTGCCATTCGACAGTGACTCGATTCGTGATATCTATAATAAAAGGGGTCGCTCACATATTTGACATTACTGGACCACTTTTTGGCAAATTGCATTAAAATTACACTAGCGTTACCATTTTAAGGAACCCCTTCAGACTCTCAGAACCTGTTACAAGCCACATAACTGCCGATGGACAAGTTTCTTGCTCATTGCCATGTTCGAGAATATTAACCGCAGGATACGTTATTGATTATGTTTCGTAATCGACCACACTTCGAAATTGCGCTCATCGTTCACCTTTTCAAGACTTAATAAATTCCTGTGCTGATCAGTTTGAAACTAGTTAAGTTAGAAACCTTTCAGCATTGAAACAACAGTACTAACTGTTACATCTAAGTGGGATGTAGGACAGAACCATTCTGTTGAATACATTTGACACAATAATGCAGACTATCTCATATTGAGTCATTCGTGGTGATCGACACAGGATGGAATAACTATTACTCTGTAAATTTGACCCTGTCAACGGGTGACATGTTCGGAAATTCATATCGACAGACAAATTGTACGATTACATTGCCGGACTGTATCGTACCTCGACCGGCCGAACTTTGTATTCCGCAAGTGCTGACACTTACCCTAACCTAAATGCTTAGTCATACAAATTCTGTACAACTGTGTGCGGTTCGGCGTTCGCGGCTGCGCTCCAGTCTCGGGCGGAGATAGCTACTACGCCCATGCTGCTTTGTCTTACTGGAGGCGTGGTAACGCTCCCGCCCCCATTCCCTGACCGCATGAATACCATTTTCTAACCGATAGCAAGTAATCGAATTATTATTTCACTTTGTCATGTTAATTTAGCGGGACATTCTGTCTGCTCGTTGGTGATCAGATGATTTCCAAGTCCATAATTCTTGTCAGATATAATTATCGTACAAATCCATGAAATGGAGAATTAGTATCGGAGTATACTTTCAAACCTCAGTAACTGGAGTCTTTTCTAGAATAATCAGAACCCTACTGTCATACGGATAAGGTATTGGCATCAAGTTTATCAAGGATGTTACTCGCTTTAAGTTACTTTTATGTTGACGTATTAGTCCAGGTTTAGAAGTTCTAGTACTTTGAAGACTTCTTGTACGATCTACGTCTGTTATGCGTCATAATATAATGTAGGTTACATCCAGTGACGTAAAGAGAGAAGTATCTACAAGTAAAGGCTAAAGTTACACTCACAATTGTACATTTCGACAGCTACATCACATTTACGTTGTGTGTATTCCGGAAAATCTAGTAAAGCTCGGTAATCAAAAGGAAGGGAAGTTTAATTATAACGAACATGGTTGCATGACATTTAAAAGAGTCTAATTATTCCAGCGTACAATTCACTCCTTCTGCACAGTGCAGCGACCTACATTTTTGTTCTTTTTACTGACAAAATATGGTGAGGCTTAGAAGGAGTGGCCAACTTGGATGAAAAATGGTAGCCCAATATTTAGAAATTAAGGACCTTATCGTTTTTAGTACTTCTGGAATAGCAATTTTTAAATGGCTCTTTCGCTGGTGATTCGTCCCCGGTCCTCAATATCACTTTGGAAATGGTTCAGCTCAGTTTTGAATGTAGATACGGTTGGTACATTTTATCGACTTGCTACCATGTAAAATTTACGTGGCTAAGGCGTGGACACTCTTCCAAGTGTTGTACTTAAAGTCATAACACGATGCGATTCATTTGTGCTCTGAGTGCAAACACAATAGAATAATTAAATATAAAAGCAAGGGGTGTAATCTTCATTGGTATCAAACACCATATTCAAAGCGGTCTATTATAACATGGATATGTTCCTAATTCAAGAGTCACACAAATCTTACATACAACACTAAATTCCAATATACACGGGCCTCCTTCACAGTTCTCTTTATAGGTGTTGACTGTTGGTATGTGATCATCTTGATTTATAAATAAACATCAAAGAGGAAGAAACATGGCACGATCCATGTCCATAGTTTCAACTGAAATCTAAACCGTTTTCACTGATATGTGATCTCAAAGTTTAGGACAAAACCAGGACTTGTTAGAGCTGCGAATGTGCGTCATAGTTGCGTATGTACAGTGTCTTGCGCTATGTGTAGTTGACTATTAAATCTGATAATTATAAAATGTACGTATATTAATGTAGATATAATCCTTGATATAATGTAGATATAATCCATGTTATAGTCTAATTATACGGGCAGTACTAGAGAGCCCATAATAACTTAACATTGCACTATAAGAACCTAACTTTATAAGAGTTCAGTAATCGGAATGTTCTTATTGATCGACCTTGTTGCAACAGAACAAGGAAGACTGAAGAATACACTTCCGTTTATATTACAATTCATTGCATAGCAGAATCAGAAGCCCCCATAGTGTTTTTACGCATGGTTTACTATGAATGCTTGAGAAGATGCTATGGCCTAAGATAATGTTCATTCTCAGGAAGTCAATGATTTTATTTCATTAACCACAAACTTCGGGAACCATAAATAACGATAGCTTTAATCCTGAAAGGACCTGAGTTTCGTATATCAACAGATTATTCACGGCGTTAAAATACGGAATGAGTAACTATGATCGAGGGAAGGGCCAATATCGAAATTTCGTTACACGATCATCCGTGGTATTATATGATGTAGGATATCTAAAATGCAGCTGTTCATTAACAGTGTGCAGCGAATGTACACGCAGCAAAATGGCTCCTTGAGTACGGGCTAGCTTTCTTGTTATGAGAAAGTACTGCATATGTAAATTTAGCGTACATCCATATTGCTGCATGCAGAGAGAGAGAGAGAGAGAGAGAGAGTGTACAATGTATATATTATTATAATTACATCCGTATTTCCACTTCGCAGATGCATTGTTTTTTATTCTCATCTTACGAAAATTTCTATCACGATTCATTGAATCAGTGCACGGCTCAGTGTCCAGTGATGGTTTTACATTACAGACACTTTTTCAAATGAGATTTTGCGATCCAGTATTCAACCCTTGTACTAACAGTAAACGTAAAAACTGTAAATCTCAAATTTATAATTCTTCATGTATCCGCACCTTAATCTGGTTCTGAATTGTTAAATTCTAAAATACCAGCACAAGCAAAGTGTGGCCATTGAGTGAAGTATAACAGTACAGTTGGTGGCTGGTGCATTAGCTGGTGCATTAGATATGATACCCGGAGGTTAATGCATTGGAGTGAGGGATTAACCACAATAAAGGGTATAAACACGAACCTGTAGCAACAGTCAGGGCGTTTATTATTCGCTACTTCCATCATATTACTCGCTATTTCCGGCATAATATATAACATACTCCTTTATAATATATACCAATAAAAGCTTGTAGATTGTACTAGACCCACCAATACTGTATGGTATAATGAGGAGATAAAGGAGTATTATAAAGGAGTATTATGTACACAGTGTACAGTACCAGTAGTACCGGTAACCTAACCATTTACTGGCCGTATAGAGCTGATCTTTACGAAACGATCAGTTATAGAATATAAAGTTGAGTCGGATGACCGGGGTTTGGGCATATCCGGTTTTGGGCACTAATTAAGGCCAGAGGGGGGGGGGGGGGGTAAATGGCACTTTTCTAGTTTTCACATATTTGATAATAGTTGCTGGAGACGAACAAGAAGAAAAAAACCGGATCAAAATCAGACCTTGCGTTCCTGAGATATCGCGCGCTAAATTTTGAGGTTTACCTGTAATTACATGTTAAACTGGATCTTTAAACGGCTGTAACTTTTTTGACCTTTCGATTCCTTAGTTGAGAAAACCGGCCACTCCCTGATCTTGAGGTTTGGTACAGTGGTTCCTTGGACAATTATCCTCATTTATGATGCAGCGATTTTTTTAATTTGACTCGGTTCTTGAATTATGAGGTTAACCATGTCAAAAATTCGACAAATTTAGCTGGTTAACCTCATAATTCGAGAAACGAGTCAAATAAAAAAAATCGCTGCATCTAATATCTAGATACTTGTCCAAGGAACCACTGTACCAAATCCCAATATCAGGGGGTGGCTGGTTTTCTCAACTAAGGAACTGAAAGTCACAAAATGTGTTTCGAGATAGATGCAATTTAGTGTTTTCAAAATTTTGAATATTCACTGGAATGTATCACAGTTCGTTAGTTAGGACTTTCTATACACCTAACAACGTTTGCTTGATCAGACCTAGCCATCCCCTAAACGATTTTAGCCACTTTCAGTAGTTAATGTCCTTGTATTGTAAAAAATGAGGTTAACCAAGACTTCCTGTAAACACTAACTGCTCGAAAGTAGTAAAAATTTGGTTGTTAACCTCGCTTTAGACCATATAACACTGGGATTGGTTTATTAATATGTTATTATATATGTAGTAAAACATTTGCACAGTGTAACGATTAAGTTTTTGAGGTTAACATGTATTTTACTGGTCAGATATTCAAAAAATGAGAGGTTAACCTCATTTTTTAGCCATTTACGGATAAAATCTTCTACTAAAATATGGTCAGTTCAAATCACCTTTGTCACGTGATTATAGTTGTAGGCATTGTGATACCAATAGATACCTCACTGCGATATTGTGGTACATTACATAAGTAAGAATCGTATGTATATTCCCTACAGTACCAAAATGTGATGGTTAACCTCATTTTTTCATTTTCCCAAGATAAAAGAAAGTCAATCAACACGTCATCTATTTAGATATGTGTATACCGTAAACTAACGATGAAAATAATAGCTCTATCATTTGATCTATTCTCGCTACATCTAAAAAAAGAGGTTAACCTCATTTAATAACGTTTGGATATTACTTTTTTTGATAATTATGAACCTAAAATTTAGAGTTAACATTTGCTGACCGAAATAACAAAAAATTATGGAGTGTAATAAAATATTAACCTCAATTTTATTAACCTCAATGTTGTATAGTCAATTTTGTGAAAGTCGGTTAACCTCAATTATTTAAAAAAGTTAAGCAGCTACAAATATGTGAATAGTTGCAATGTTTTTGTCATCAAAAATTATATTGATTAAGAAAATAATATTTTGGTCGATGTTTTTGACCCCTTACCCCCCCCTCTGGCCTTAACGGGAGTGTGGACCTCTAAACTTGTTTATCATTTACACAGTTTAAACTGGCGAACGGTATGCGGACATTATACTTTTACATAACGAAGGTTACCGCTACCTGACACATACATTGTTAGGTTACCTCCACTGTTGAGTGGAACTGCCTTATACAACACACCGTTAAATTACTTACTGATAGAGTGACTGACAGTTGAAGTACATGAAACGGAAACTTATAGACCTCGTGTGTCCCCGTTATAGGTCTTCACATTCAGTCTGGATAAAATCATATTTACCCGAGATCCGGCAATATGCCTCTGGAATGCACACCTAAAAAGTAGGGGGTGAGCACAGAAATAGACTGAATCAACTATGGTTTTCGCTATATTAAGCGGGTCTTAAAACACTGTGTACCCATACGACTGGGGTTAACAGGGCGGTGAATACAAGACAAACAGTAACCGCCTGGGGGAGGCGGAGGAAGACTTAGCGAGGCGAAACATCAGCTCTATAATCAGTAACATTACGGTACAGAGAACCGGCAGCGTCAAACACACTAACTACATTGTTCTCATCAAGACTGCATTATAACAGTTTGTTACACTCACACACACACTTTGTATTACATGGAGTTAATAGGTCACGGAGACATTTTATCGTTTCTGCAACCCGGGTGGATTTCTTCTAGCTCTTCATCAAAGCAGCCGCAATTAAACAGACTGAACGTGGATAAAATGTGAACTAACAGAGTAGCTTTGCATGGCACGGTGTATGTGTCACAATAAGCAGGAGTAAGCAGCAGCGAGTGATATAATGTTTGACCTACTGCCCACATTTTTACACTGCGTAGTACGGAATTACAGGACAATTGCCCCGGACACTCTGGTCGGGAGAGATAGAACTTTCGGGAGGTTACCAAGTTTGAGCGACAGGGTATTTGAGTCGAGTGAAACAAGTAGGTTAAAATTGTTATAATATTATGATGTATATTGTATGTATAATATTGTGACAGGGAGAAGTTACAAGATGTTAAACTGTTGCCCACACACACACACACACACACACACACACACACACACACACACACACACACACACACACACACACACACACACACACACACACACACGTACACACACCACACACACACACACGCACACACAATCTTATACACACTAAATTATAAGACACAGGCGTTTCTACACGCAGTATCAAGAGAAATTATTCATCTTAACACAATCATCAAGACCATTTCATAAAACTAAATACAGATGATATGATGGTACTAGAAGTAGAAGCAAGTGCCGCATTGTTATTAATCAGTCCTTCGGTCTCCGCATCTCTCCACTATATATACTAAATCTTATACATAATGTATAATATTATATCAAAATTCAAAATAATACTCATATATTATGTATAATACATATAGAACGAGTATGTAAACACATGAGGCGCTAGCAGATCAATTTTGAAGGGGGCAACAACTAAACAACATGTTGTGGAACCTACACATTGGGTATTATTATTTCAATAACATTACTATCAATTCCATTATTGTCAACTGAGAGGGGTAACAAAATAATATATCACTATTTGGAACAACAAAGTATTCAGATCCTGGAGTGCGTGAAGTATTTGAAAGTATGAATCAAAGTATGAAAATCTCCGTAGTACTAAACACAGTGGTGCTGCTTATAAGATGTCGTCTCGTAGCTGACGCAAGGTGCGCCGGCGCGAGGGCTTGCTCTCACCCTCTTACCCACGGGGAGGGAGTGCACTGTTTTGACACGTGACCGCTGACCGCTGTAGTCACGTGTCAACACACGTGTGCACGGACTCTTCGCGGATAACAACGTCAATGATAACACGGGTACGTGTTCCTTTTCACTGGAATCATATATTTGAAGCCTACAAAATATTCTTTAAAATTACGCATTCACAAAGACCCTAAAAACAATTTAAGTTGTCATACGTTTCGTGAAAATCAAGCTAACTGCAATTATCTATACATCAAAAGTGAGCAGAAGAAAAATAACTCTTTTGAACATTTTACAAAAATCTGGGCTTTGAGATTACCGGGTAAATTACGCTGCAGTTTAGTAAGCAATCCGATAGTTACATTTAAATCCATAAGAATATTTTTATGTCTTTCAAAAGTTTTTAAAACAATCTAAATAACTATTTTTATTAGAACGCTGACCTTACGTTTTCAACAATGACGATATATCAATACTTTATGGGTAGAAACAGTTTTATAACCAAAAATACCAAGTTTTATATGAAATATGAACGGTGTGAACAGCTAAGGATTTGATCTTTATTAAACCTGATTAATGCTTTATATGATTAAATTGTTTGAATCTATACAAAAATAATTTGAATTTTTCTACAAAGCGTATTATGGCTGCAGAAACTATTTTACACATGCAAATTATAGCAATTCATGGGTAATCCGATAACAGAGCCCTGGAAAAAGAAAAATGTCAAAACATTGAATATTGTCAATTTAATATTATTATTATTATTACGAAAGTCAACGGTTAACTGTAATAACATTACATATCAACATCAAGGTAGGGCGGTGTTGGCGCGGTAAGAAGACTGTTAGCAGTACGTTAGGAAAAGTAGACTTGAGAGCGAGCAGGCTCGGAGAGGGGTGTTTGACGTAGGATGACGTGTCCATTGGGCCTAGGACACGGGCCCACGTGCGCGCACCCCGGGCGACCCGGCTCTAGCTCTTGTCTCTGTTTGGCGAGCACAGGTTGTCCCCCGAGAGGGTGGTGTGAGCGGGTCATCACACCTCTCGCACACATACAAAGTCACACACAGTCTCCACGGATATTTTAGCTAGCGCACAGCCGACCCTTAATTCCAGATTCTCAGGTAACTATCCCAGCTGCCGGTGCAAATAGCCATGCCGTCTGCGGTGATACCCAGACAACTGACGCGGTTCTCGTGTGCCGCCAGTACTCCCACCCTATCATTAAGTAGTGCGTCCCAGACGTTACAGTTGAAATCGTCGTATCCAGCAAACAAGAGACGGCCGCTCTTGCTGAATCCTACCGATGTAATTCCACAGATTATATTTTCGTTGCAGTATGTTATAAGCTCCTGGTCAGCTCTGATGTCAAAGAGCCGACAGGTTGCGTCGTCGCTACCTGTAGCGAATGACATCCCGTTAGGGAAGAAGGAGACTGCGTTGATGTCACTTTCGTGACCAGTAAAGGTCTGCTTGCACATTCCGTCACGGATATCCCACAGCTTTGCGCTGGCATCACAGGCACCTGAAAATAGGCAGAACATTAGAACTCGGTGATCTAACAACTTTGGGGGCTTCGAGAAATTCAATGAATTTAGAGGAATATAACATAGCTCTAGGCGACCTAAAGGTTCTGACGAAGAAGTCCTAAGTGACTAAGAGGTCTGAGCTGGAAGCTATACTAGGGGCAATTTCCTTGACACATAATAGGAACTTTAATAATTTAAGAACTTTATCATAACATTAGGAACTTTAATCGGGAGTATTGCTACTTCACCAAGGTTACATATCGGTATTTATTTGGGATATTATTGTATTAGGCGTGTATAATGGATCTAAATAACTTGGGGGGTTTCATTGACATTCACTCCATTGTCCTCTAGGAATTTTAGTAGTAAATGGAGAGTAAAAGTCTAGTGGAAATAATGACCCCCATTTTTCTTTGATTTCGCCCATGCTATTATAATCTGCAATTTACGTTTCACAACATTGCATCATTAAATGCATCAGAAATAAATATTATTCAACAAAATCTAAGGAAGAGACCAGAGCTCTGCTACTAGAGTAGTAGCTCCAGAGGGTAATGATTTATCAAAACTGTAACAAGGAACTGGTTGGGCTGCTCAACAAATAATTTCACACATAAGTGTATGAAATGTGCGACCACAGTGTGGATGAAACTACATGGCTGCCACAGTACCACACTAATGTAGCGCAGAAACAACGAAGATATTTGACATGGTACTACTACTTCTAAATCAGAATACATTCAGCTCATTGACATTCAATTTACTGACGTCATTGGGCGACATTCATTTCAAGCAGGACAAATGAAATAACCTTTGTCTCATCATTATAGGAACACGCTACACTTATATGCTATGAAAAGCTCAGCAATGGGGAATGTAGGTTGTATCGGCGAGATTTGTCAATACAATTGAAGTTGGCCCATGAGCTGAGATCACTGAAAAATATACCATCTCTACGATTTTTTATGTATTCAAATTCATCGTTAGAATCCTCCTTCTTTAGAACCGTTTGATAGAAGATTTAAAAAGTACAAGGCCCCCGTAAACTCAGTTCAAACTTTTAGTTCCTCAGAATATTGGGTGTTTAAGGGAAATGGTGTCTTCAGAAGTCTCCCGCTGTCCTTTTGTTCTTTCTCTCGGTCCTTCTCACGTAATTTGACAGTTCTTTTTGAGACACATGTTTTAAGAGACTACCGAAGGCCGGAGAAACAAACATACCAAGATATGTTTCACGATTAACTCACCATACACACACACACACACACACTCCGAGAAACAGACACACTCACAACTAACACGATTGTTGGGTAACGAGGTTGGAAGACGAGACATCTCACAACCATGTCTTAAAACTTTCTGATTGCGTCAATACTACGCAAATTTACCTCAAATATTTGTGCCTCTCTGAAAGCTCCCGCCTATCACCAGTTAACTCCCCCTACAGACATGCTCAAAAACATACAAACAAACAAACAGACAAACATACTTACACCCACGCACATACACTCCACGAGACACCCTTCTATCTACACTCACAGTACAAACTCTCTCTCTCTCCGTTTCTCTTTAGCGTGGTATGTTAACAGGCACTGGTAAGGATTCCCCCTGACTCGCAGGAGAGTGGAGAGGTGGCGTGGTGTTATACACACAAACACGGGAGCTGAGAGAGGCCGATAATTCGTTATTAATGTGATCGTTGACAGAGTGATGATACACATACACTGCTAGTACATTCACACGTAGGTATCAAGGTACACTCACTCCCTCTGTCGATCATAGTAGTGGCGTTATAGTGTTGTCAAACACTCACACTCGCCAGCTCAACCCACATAATATTATTATCATGGGTTTCTGGCTCCCACGAAATTATAATGAATCTTTACTCGTTGAACTGTGCAATTTGTTATCAAAACCGTTGTCTTATGATATTATCTTATTAATAATTATCTGAGACATGATGATCTGATGGTGATGTATGTGACTTTTGATCACAATTGATCCCCAATATAACAGCTTTAGGACAGCTCACAGATAACACAGTCAGCCCTGGCTTGACACCCATCTGACTATCAGTACACAGAGAGAGTGTGCCAGGGAGAGAGAGAGAGAGAGAGAGAGAGAGAGAGAGAGAGAGAGAGAGAGAGAGAGAGAGAGAGAGAGAGAGAGAGAGAGAGAGAGAGAGAGAGAGAGAGAGAGAGAGAGAGAGAGAGAGAGAGAGAGGGAACAGGAAATTATACGGGAAATGTAATGTAACCGGCCTGACCAGATGTGCTCTTGACGATGACCTAAATGTCGTGTCAGTGACTTAAGTAATCGGCCGTACATTGGCAAAGTTCGATATCCTTTCATTACCGTACTGACAATCGAGACCATTTTAAACATTTTAACGATAACATGAACATATGCTGGCTTTTCACAGGAAAGGTGACGATAACATGAACATGGCCTGTAACACGGGGAAAGTGGGAATTTCATATCATTTTGAACCAGGATCTTGTGAAACTTTTCACGCACCTCGCAGTCGCTATTATATAGTACTTGTTCCGGGCCACCAAGAATTGCAATTTCTAGCATTTTGGACAGAAAGGTAATCTAAATCATATTAATTTCCAGGGACATGGAGGAATAAACAAAGGTAAAATCATTATATAACATTCTACACCATCGCTCGACTCTTAGTGGTATTAATTAAAAGTTGATTAAAAGTTAATGTTAAACTGTGGAGGGGTGGCAAAAGCAGCAGTAAGGGGTGACCATTTTAATTTGCTTCGGCGCGACCAGGGAGAAACCCCATTAGATATTTACTTTATACCACAAATCACATAACTTTAACTTTAATCTTACAAACTTAACACTACCAGATCAGATATTACCTGGTGTTTTGGTTTTCAATTTAGAGGCGCAAAAAATGTCTAGCTTAAAAATGAACATCATGAGTAAGAATGTTTCCCGATATGATTGTACAGCGCATATACACAAACCAGCAAAAATTAACCACAAAAAAAACTCACCAGAAACAAAGGTCCTCTTGTCGGGAGAAAGAGCGAGGCTCATGGCATCTCCAGCGTGGCCACTGAACGTAGTGGTCTGTTGACCGGTCTCTATATCCCATTGTGCACAGGTCATGTCTCCGGACGAGGTCAGGATCTGGGTGTCGTCCAGGAACCGACAGCAGGACAGGTATCCTGTGTGTCCTGGTAACTCTCTGCTTACCTGTAGAAACACCGTTATAGTATAGGCTAGAGGGAGCTTACATTTATTGAGATTAACTGATATGTTCTCAGTAATAAAGCACGGGATGTATTAAGCTAAATGGGTTTCAGGCTCAGTGTTCATTACGTAGAGCTAGCTCGGTACCGACATTAATCTATCAGCATTTTCATCACGATAAAGTGTTATTCAAGTTTTAATGAAAGAGAGCTATTTGATGTAACATAGCGAGGTAGCCCAAAGGCGAGCCCAATATTTCACGTAACACAGTGACCATGGGGCAAATACTAAATATTAAATATAATATAAATACTGTATTACATGGACCTTTTATTCTATTTAACCTCACGAAGTTTATAAGCTTAAATGTTTAATTTGTTCAGAAAGCTAAAGCGTTTACAGTAATACTGAGCCTGATCCTGTATTCGCTTGTCTGCAGTTTACGCCCTGTTCCGGAGTAATATTTCTTATACTAATGGGTTATTCCCCGCATTTACAAACCACTAAAAACGGGAATATTCTCCCGAATAATCAGACATAACCTTTTATCATGATGAAAATTGTGACCACTTTCCATTTGGATAGTTATTATGTGGTTGTAGTGGCGGTTATGTTAATGATCCCCGCTAACGAAAACCAAATTAACCGTTAATTACACAAATCAAGCCTTATTAATCATATATGGAATATATTACTTATATACCAATCATAAGTTATGACATTGCGAGTAAGGTTATCAAGGATTGAGTTTCATGCCATATTAATCCCATTACAATTACATTATATCACGTATTATAACGCTCTTTATAAAGTGTAAATTCTCTCCATGAAAACTTTCTTTACAATCCCAGATTTCTCAATCTCTGCTCCATCAACTACTGTCACCTCCCAGGAGAGCTGCCCCTTTCAATAAAAAGTTAACGTTAACAGAGGGTCTCACTAGTGGGTTTGAGGTGCCCGATAGAGCTCACATTGTGCTGGGTTAATGATGTGGGTGGTCACGTGACCTCGGGACAATGGCTCACAGGATTATGTTTCACTCTGTAGCAGCTGGGCTACTGTTGTCCTATAGAAACTCTAGCAATCTTGTAAAGTTGTCCGGTGTTAGTTGACTATAACCCCCAGTTTGAGACATACGGGGAGAGATTCGTGAGTAAAATGTGTGGTCAACAGAGCTGGGGGGGGGGGGGGGGGGGGGAGCTGGAGGGGGGAGGGGAAACCCATTTGCATTGCAATTGATGACTATGCCTATTTGGTTTAAGGAATAAATGGGTAAAATGCACATGATTTTACGGTCAAAATCGAAACATAAATATTCCGGATACCATATTAGCTGTAGTTTCTAATTTGAGGACGGCGAACACGATGGTGATGTTTATTTTCATCATAAGTCAAGTTTTAGCTGTTTTTAAGCCCATGCGCATTGCCGCCCATTTGGCCTAAAATTGGGGAATAAATCGGCATGGGGTTGCCCCCCCCCCGCCCCCCCTCTCAAGAGCTTATGACACGAATATAGCATAGCTATAGGTATGGTTTTTATAATACAAGATGTGTGTTGTTGGTATCAGGATCACATACAGGGCGACCACATGAGATAAAGATGCGAATACAAAAGGGCGGTAAATTCACTCCCCTCCCTCATCTCCTCCTCCTCCTCCTCGTAGTGAGATAAAGAGGCGATGAAGGCACGGAGCTGAGTAAAAAGGGAGGGAAATTGACTCCTTCTCCGCATTGACACTAGAGTGTTGATTTGAACATACAGCAAGTGTGCTGCACATGTTCTTTTGTATTTCAAACGTGGTATCGTAGCTCGGACAGGCTACCTACTAGGCCTAATTATCGACGTGTGAACGCATTATTTATACAATAAGACATTGTCACATAGTACGACACATGTGTTGGCGGAGTGTGTGTGTGTGTGTGTGTGTGAAAGTGTGTGTGTGCATGTAAGAGCGCTAGAGTGTGAGGGAGTAACAAGCCAGCGCGACAATTAATTTAGAGTGTATTGAAAGAGGGTACATTTTGTGAGTTAGAGTGAATCTTATATATCCTATATTTTATATATCCTTTCAAAGAAATATAGTTCAGCAGAATACAGCAGAATATGAGATGCACTAAATTTTTGCTGCTCAAAGTTTGGTTTCTCCTAGTTTGGCAACTTCTCTGCAAAAGGATATGGAAAGAGATGTAACTTTGCATTAAAGTGTAAATAAATTGCAGAGCATAGGATAAAAACTGAGTGAGATTTAGCTGCTATAAAGTGGCCAGTATGAGTCATGAAAATGCTAGAATTAGTAGTTCTAGTAATCCTAGTAGTTCTATAGGGTCTATAGTAGGCCCTAATAGTTCTAACCTATGTGGCCAAATGTTATATGCAAATGCTATAGGCCACTGATATAGTCAGGCCCCAGCCAATGCTATAGCCTATAGTCCCAGCCAATGCTATAGTTCCATGCTAAGATCGGCTGTACATTAATAGCCACGACATGATGGATCGCCTTTGTATCATTCCTCTTTGTATTTTAGCTTATGGAGCGAACTTAGTAACAACATTGTAAAGAGAACTCAACTCTTGTTGAAACATTCTGACATCCCGTAATCTCAGAAAGGAGTAATGAGACTGATGCTGAATCATGTCGCCAGAATAATATTGCGCGTCACTTAATTTACAGGAATCCGTTAGAAAAGCGATTAGTTATACTTATTGAGGCTTGAAAGAAATGGAGACAAAATTTTTGATTGGAAGTTATCGGTTGTAATAAAATCCAAAACTGATGAAGCTGGTGAACTCTTATTTTATTTGTCTGTCTCCACCGCCATGCCATGTTACATGTATAATGTGTATGTATTAAGAAGCCAAAGGGTCAATTTGAATTTTGCAACCACTACAATCAGTATTCACTAACTCAAATTGCTAATGATCTATTTATGATCATAAAGTTAACATCTCATACCATAAATAAAATCTTAACCTGGACATTGATTTATAAAGGATATAATTTATTGCGGATATGAATTATCCAAGTTAAATCAATGCGTGTTTAATCGCCCAATTTTATCTCTCTTAAGTTGTATTGTATGTCGTCACGTGCAACTTTGTGTGCTTCGTTTGTGCGTCAATAGAACATTCTGGAAGGAATTGACAAAACTTTCTTGTAGCAAGATATACCAAGCCATTTCATCAGTTTTTCCATACGTTATCGGGCAATGTTAACTTTATCACATATTAGATTATATATTAGGATGATCATATCAGTACAAAGTTTATCAAGAAATCTTCCGCATTTTCCAACCGATCCATATTAGAGCTCCGAATTACTAATATCACCAAAATAGAAATATAAAATGCATAGAAGTGAAAGAAAATATGCATATATTATGTAAAACCAAAATACAAATTTCAACAAACCTTAACATTTCCCTCCCGTGTTTTGAGACTGTAGATAGAGCACAAGTTATCAAGACCTCCGCACGCAACATATGAACCAGTGGGAGCGTAGGCGCACGTCATTACCCAACTAGAACGCAGAGGAATTGCGTGTATCTTATTAGTGGTATAGGCGTCCCACACGATCAGCTTTCCGTCCTGAAATAGAGGGTTAGAGAGAGAGTTCGTGGTGGGGTTTGAACGTCAAAATGTTAGGTTTTCTTAAATGTCAATGTCGGTTCATTGTAATCATTTTAATTGTCCTTGTTGTACAATAACTGATCAGAAACATTCCATTAAAGAAGGAATGTGAATTAAACTAGCCGTCTTCCTCTCGGTAACCACGTGATACACATAATTATGTAACAAAAAGGCCCCCATTATTACGGGGTTCAATGAGAGAAATGACAAGGTCAACATAATCATAGGTACCGGTCGCGGTGTAAGCTTCCCATTACATATCTCAGCTTTAAATACGCACCATATTGTTAAATACGAGCTGCATTTAGAAGAAAAGGGCCCCAATTTCCCAATTATAGCCCAATTACGCTTTGTCGGACGAAACTTGGCATATGTGATCAAGATGATTTCCTCCTCATTATACACTGGATTATGTAAGTTGATGTAATACCTAGTGTGGAATGTATGTAGGTACTTCAAACATTAGCTAATAATGACTGCGCAGTGTGAAACTTTGTATTAGATTTGGGGGATGCCTGTTGAAGACTTCAAAGGTTGCAGGCTCCCCCGGTCTCCAAGCCATAGACTGAACCCCCTATTCAGTGATCATGATTTAGAGTTGATGGTTAGAAAAACATGGTGTTCCATGTTCATTAATCGTTAAATCGCTTAAGGTCTCGTTAAAATACTATCTCTGTTCATGGATCATTATTACTGCGGTTTATGTGAACACTTTGTTTTGAAACATGATCTCGGTTATTCATTAATTACAGTCTTGAAAGTGACAACTTGTTCTAGAATGTTGCAATAGAATTCTTCGGGTTGGTCTCGACCGTAAGGCGTGGTTTAAGTGGTTCGTAGTATAGCTGCAACTACTATTAAATCATGTGAATTTGTACTGTGCTCTTGAAACGCAAGGATTACACAAAAAAAGATAAAATTCATCTTTAGAGCAAGATACTGGTTTAGGTTGCATGAACAATATCATTATCAACCTGTTCTCAGTCTCTATTACTTTGCACTTATATCGTAAACTTGTCAACGATTTGAGAGTAGTAAATTCATTAGGGCCATGCCATTAATTTCCCTGCTGTATAATCGGCTGTGGCTACAGTACAGTTGTTAAGCTGTCAACAAAACTGTCGTTGCTTCTGCACGCCAATTTGATTAACTTATAGTTTGATCTTGAAATTGCTTTTAATTTTACAATCTTGTTGCTATACAGCCAACTTTAATAGTTAATCATACACCGAGAAAGCCGAGATATAAGGCATTATTTTAGAGAAGCAGCAGCTACGAAGAATATTCTAATCCATTATACAACACAGAACATGAGTTTGAAAAGGCACCAGGTGTTGAGGGTCACAAACCAGGCAACATCACCGATACTACAGAGTACCTGTACTGGTCACTGGTCACAGGTTACCGTATGTAACGAGCAGGTTTTTGAAACTCTAACCCTCTTATGATCTGTTCTCAACTTGGTTAATTGTGTCCCTTAATCGGCGATATATATCCATTATCCATGGTCCCAAGTGGTACTGTTCCCGTTTATATAATTAAGAGGGAGGGTAATGACCAGGGCCTTGTTTCCACAAAACTACAAACACATCATGGAACATTGTCCTTACTTAGTGGGCCTAGCCTTTTGGACAAAGGGGCGTCGAACACGGATAACAATTAGGCAAATGACCCAAACAATGTAAACAACTTGGATCATGTGCCTCTCATCACCATCAGCTAGACACAAGTGGCTCTCTCACTTAAACTTAATGTTTCCGCTGTTATATGCAGCTGAGGGTTAGCTACCACTGCTATGAAAAGTTCCTGTGAGCATCATAAAAATACTTGGCAATTACTGAGTTTAACATTCCACACTTCCAATTGAGAGATTGTAACCGGTATAAGAATGAATATTGGAGTACAGAGTGCAAGTGGTTGGCGGTCTGGGATGTGCCGATTATGCCATATTTGCTTGAACTTACGACTATATTAAAATTCTGAGTGGCCATCTCCCCAACCCAGTGACACCTTGACACGGCGATATAATCAAGCTGCCTTTAATTGTATCAACACGACTTTTACAGCAGTTCAAATTTGTATACGGCAGAACTTTAATCCCAAAAGTTGACGATAATGTCAGAAAAATACCAACAACAAGCTGATTCATCGTAGTAAGTTCAAGTAAAATGAAAGATTTGATCTATTTTCAAATGTAAGGACTCGTACAGAGAACTATGCAGCTACTCTGAATTAACAGCAGTATTAAGGCTTTACATTTTATTACATTACATATTATTATATTACTTGTCATGAAAGGTCAGGGTAACCAGTGAACCACGTACATTATATGTCACAATTCAGTTATAGTTTTATTAGTTACTTATTTTTACTTCTGCTTTTATCTGAAGTATGGTTGTGCAATTTATAAAAGGCGTTCTGGAAGGTTACAAATTGCGGGCTATGGCAGTCATTCTTTTGTATTAGTAACGCTTACGTAATGTCAGTTAATAGCTATAGGTCAAACTTTCTTATAACCATATGTTGAGCACCAGAGAGGGAAAAATAGCAATCAGCCCTGATGATCTCATCTAAGCACAATTATCAGAAAATAGGTGTGTAACTATCGTACAATGACAACCTAAATGTTATATAAATAGGTGTGTAACTATGACTATTTGTACAAGTCCTTATGTTATTAACCAGCTTTTACCAGCTCTAAAGTATCCATTACCAACACCTTCCTAATATCTAAATATCTATTACCAACACCTTCCTAATATCTAATATCTATTACCTATACCTTCCTAATATCTAAAGTATCTATTACCAATACCTTTCTAATATCTTAAGTATCCATTACAACTACCTCTCTCAATGTCAGTATTAAAATGTGCTCATAACTCAAATCAAATACCAATCATTGGAATTCCTGGCCTATGATTTGAGAACATAACTACTAAGTAAGTCTCCTCCCCAGATCGCTTCAAGTTGATCTCTGAGTGCTCAACTTGCAGTTAGCTTGTCGTGCAGGAAGGTAATCGTATTTATTTGCTAGTGGAGCTCACTGGTACACTATGTTACATGCACAACATTTGAGTTACGGCGACAAACAAACTATTTAAACATCGGATCCCCGCCAATGTAAAAGTCAGCATATCTGTAACAGCTTCTGCTACGGTGGGATAAGTATGCCGCCAAGCAATCAAATAAAAATGAGATCATCCTTTATAAATTCCGATCACTAAAGACCTGCAGGGCTGGGGAAAGTAAAACAGTGTTTTCGTTTCCTTAATAAGTCAAACCATTTTATCACAACCCAACAATCTCGGTATTTGTTACCGCCCAAACCTCATTATATCAGAGACCTACTTAACATCCTTTGCCCCAGGCTAGGTTGTGATTTCTAGCATGCTAACTCGACATGTGTACAAACTTAATTAGCAACTTGTAAACGGACTATACATTTCTCTAATTGCTAGGTATATTGCGAGTTGGTTAGTTTTTATACAGTTTAAATACTCGCGTCCACACTCACACTCCAACCAAACTTACACTCAAACCCAAACCAAACTTAAGCTCACTCCCGCGCTCGCACAGGGTTAAGACACTCACTCTCAGACTCCCACACAAACACGCGGCGGACACTCACAAACTAGCTCTCTCTTTCTACCGGCCAACTGTCACGTGACAAATTAACTTGACGACTGAGCTGACGACAAGACCAGAGCTGGGGTAGAACTAGCAGAAAAACCAAAGCTTTATTCCTGCACAGAGCCATCTAATAAAGGTGTTACTAAAGGTTGGGTTGCAGGGAGTGTACGAAGGAAATTATCTGCTAATGGATAGTTCGGTGAAGTACACGTGTGCGTATAGGGTAACACTGTGTTACACTGTGCTTCTGAAACGAGAAGAAGAAGAAGCGTGCAGTTAGCACAATTAACTGGTCGTATATCCCTAACTTAGGAGAGAGCAAATAATATAGTGCATATAATATAGTGCATATAATATAGTTCATATAATATAGTGCATATAATATAGTGCATATGATATAGTGCATATAATATAGTGCATATAATATAGTTCATATATTTAACACTAGCCGGATCTGCACAGTAGCTCACTGATTAACGTCCACCAGTGATGTCATACCATAAGTGCTCGTGTAGAAGCAGGCTCCCAAAGCGAGGATTCCTGTAGCTTCTCGACTTCTCGTAAAATACGGAAGACACTTTTTAAATTTCCTGGTACGAGTTGCGGGTGTAAAAACAGGGTTTTGAGTTATGTAGTGTTACACAGTCAGAGAGAGAGAGAGAGAGAGAGAGAGAAAGCAATTAGCCGCAGTACGTGACATACAGTTCACCCTGTCAAACTCAGCATGCGGAGTGTACGTGTCACAGCGAGTGTGAGTGTGTAATTACACGTGCATGTCAGAAATTGACAGGCAAGAATTTCGGATTGGCCTATCGGGCGGCACAGTCATATATCAACCATTAACAGTTATTACTGGTATTGTAAGAAATTGCTGCGTGTGTTCTCATAAAAGATACCCATATAAAGTGTGTGGTAACACACAACTTAACTCTACCAGTATAATTACTTTACAAATCGACTTTACAACCGCCACTTAAACTACAAGGTCATAAAAAGATTTGATCAATTCCCGGAAGAATGTAAGGGTAATCGTGCATATAATGCGCCACGCCCATATCTGTAGGACACATAATTTGCGTCCATTACACACAGTAAAGTTCGAGAACTATCGTTATATTGCACTTTAAGTACTGGTACGTAAGAGGAGTAAGCTACTGGTATATACTGGTTACTGGCTACACGACTCAGAGATCACTGACAGTTATGTCAAGTTTGCAATTGGCATGCATATAGTAGACCGTGATGATGCCTACGCAGTGAGGTAATGTGCGTTATGTTGCCGTATTTTTTGTTGTCATCAAATCAGGTTTATTGACAGCGGAAAGACTTAGTCAAGGTACAATCGTTAAATCTCGATGAAGATTCACGAACTTTCCTAAAATGGCTAGATTGTCATAGCGCTGAGCAAGTAAAGTGGTCAGTAACCAAGGTTCAAGTACCATACTATTTATTAACCATAGTATAATATCATAAAATAACCAACTGGATCCAAGCCCGGCCCTTGCATGCAAGGAGTGCAAGTGCAAGTTTCATACGTCAACAAGTAATTGACATGCAGTGCTAGGATCAAAAAACATGTGACACCCACAGTTTGATGTATAGCGGTCTGTGTAATACTTGCGAGGATAGCCAAGAAAACAACAATTTTCAAGAAAACAACAATTTTATTTAGTATCAATTAAAGCAAACATAAATATATTTTATATATAACTAGCAGGACCTTTTTACCAGATATCTTAGGGGACTTGGAGTAGCAAGAGAATGGATAGAAGGTATATACCTATTACAAAAATACGTCAAAAAGAATCCAGGGTGATACAGGATCGGAGAGTGCAGACTGTAAAGTTTACGCACCCACCCTTGCCTCCTAAATTCTTGGTTGGGTAGGCATTTATGCGAACTTGGTCGTTTATACTCCAAGTCCCTTTGTTAAAAAGTAATAACACTTATCTCAGGAGTTAACTTCATTCAACAATAATAATATCATTATCAATTTATTGCATAGACTAAACTATCGAATATAGGTTCGATTATCAAATATAGGTTCGATTATCAATAGGTTCGATTATCAAATTATAGGTTCGATCTGATAAAAATTTGTAAAATAAAATATTTAATTATTAAAAACATTACATCAAGTGGTTAAAAATCGATCTGAAAGCTTTTCAGCTTATAGTTCAATCATGATAGTAATATTAGGTGTGTGCCGCTGCATGTGCAATTTGATTACTGCAATTTAAAATTGGTTGGAGTCCAAATATCTTTTAAGTCAGCTGCCTGTGATTGTACTAATAGTGCTTTGGTTCTCAATTTTATCAAGTTAATGGAAGTTTCTAGGCAATTGCTTGAAGTTAAATTTTTTTAATGAACTGTGTTCCAAAGCTTGGCTGCATTAAACAAAAAGGTATTTGATTTATTTATAGAAGAATAACCATTAGAATCGTTGCACGGTTTGAAATGTTGATGGCCTCATAAAGGCCTCATAAAGCCACAATAGTTGTCGAGCATGGCTGTGCAGATTTGGAGGTATAGCTAATAGTTACAGCCGTACAATCCATTAGCTAATAGCTAAAGCAACTTTCAGGCTCGCCATCATGACCGGGAGGCACCGACCGGGCACCAAATTTAATGTACACGACTTTCGTAAACGAATTTGTTGGAATAGTAGTTTCAAGTCATTTGATTAATACATTCCGATCTCAAGTACATCAGCGACTGTTACATGTTCAATTCTGAGGTTTACGCTTTACCTGTGATATGTTTTATCTATAATAGGCCGCACAAGTTTCGTGGATACCCGATTACCAGACGTTTGTATAGTTGAGTGTATTAAGCAAACGCTCTTAAGGGGGCAGGGGGGGTCTTCATGGAAATTTTCTCAAAATCGACTTTTTAGTTGTTTCTGATAGAGGGGAGTGAAATCTATCAGATGCTTTTAATCCGATAGAAAAATATTGTTCTTAGCCGAAATTATTGCCGGTAAAAGGTCAGCGCTTGTGTGTAATTTAGATCGCGTGCCCTGAAAATTGAGTCTAAAAATCTATCTTCTCCTACATTTTTTGAGCAATCACCCTCAAACTTTCAGGATATGTTCTAAGGATCATTTAGAAGAGATTGTCCAGGCACAATTTTGAGATAGGCCTTTAAACATTTTATATTAGATTTTTAAAATCTTGGATTACACACAAGCGCTGACCTTTTACCGGCGATAATTTCGGCTAGGAACAGTATTTTTCTATCGGATTAAAAGCAACTGATAGATATCACTCCCCTCGATCAGAAACAACTAAAAAGTCGATTTTGAGAAAATTTCCATGAAGACCCCCCCCCCCCTGCCCCCTTAACAGATTTGTGAAAGGTAAGTTTTTAAGAGGAACAGATGATAATCAACACAGTTGAATTCAATATGGTGTTTAAGGTAAAATGATAATGGGCATATTATATTCTTGGTAACTACACTATGTATTGTACGATTGAGAGACCAGGCGTTTAGTGGAGGGTAAGATAAGGTCAAATTACAAATAAACCATCTCCTCAACTTAAATAATATGCCGGGCACACAAATGTCTGAGATAAAGTCATATAATTGGTGAGCAATTGTCTCGTTATTGTCATGGTTAGTTACGTAAATTTCTTAAAAAAGTAATGTCATTGTAAATGATTAGAATTAATTGATCTGAAAACAACATACCTGTGAGGCGCTGACTAGATTTCTGCTATCAGCAGCCCAATGCATGGCATAAATTTTAGCTAAATGACCCCTTAGCGTCCTGAAAAATGTCAATAGTAAGCAAATAAGCAGCATTTAGAAACTATACTATAATGGGAAAAAATCATGTTATTCAAACATCTTATTTTTTAAAATTTTCTTGAAATTACAGTAATGATTTAGGCATAAAATTCAATCAATTAAAAATATATATAGAACAAACCTTCGAGCACGCATATTTAATCTACTAATATTGTCTACATTTTCAGTTTTACTTTCCATAGTACAATCTCTGACATTTTTTCTGGCATCTCTAATATGAGACTTCAAAGCTTCAGCTTCTTGCCTAAGCCGGTCTAATTCGTTCATCTGATTCCTTGTGCTACAAATAGATAAAGTGTTAATTTTGAACAAAGTATTTCATGATTTATTTAAACCCTGTTTTTGTTAGTAGATATTAATGATTTGATGACTTATTAACTTTCCTGACAAAGTAATGTAAGAGTAGCAAGTAATAATGGGAATTTGTGGTACATTTTACCAAGAAGGAGTAAAAAGGTCTTTCATATCTAAGGTACTTCCATCAAAAGTCTTTTAGATCAATGATGCGCACATCAAAATGATTAAAATTCTGTCAAAAATAAGTTAGAGCCCATATTACTGGGCTCAAGAAATGGATTACACGGAATAATATGACAGGCTAGGCTGAATGCTGATGGAAAGGGGCAACACTGTTTCTCAAGAACATTAAATAGAGATTTCTAAATGAACAATATAAGATTACAGAACTGCAGTGTTCCATCTTGTATGAGTACAGAGAGGAGACGTGTTTTGGAGCAAAGAATGGTGCTATTGGCTAGTAATATGAGCAATTTTAGTAATTGGGGTGTGTCCGACCTTCTAACACTTGTTAAATGTTTACAAGCCCCAAGGTGAGTATATAAGAGCCGGCCAAGACACCAAATGCGATATACTGAAAATAAGTGCTCCTCTTTAGGTTTCTACGATATTGATTCATTTTCAAATTATGTAATACTATTTCTGTTAGTGCAGCATGTTTTGCAATTGTTGACACTAATCTTAAAAGTTAGTTAGTTGGATTTCACTAGTGAAAGCACTTTTCTTAACCCAAGCACTTTTTTTTAAATGAAAATCTTTTCAAAATTTACATACAATATAACATGTGGCGCAAAATAAAATCAAAATATAACTGATTGCGATCTCTAAAGGACAGATGTATGTAAATTTCAAAGGGAAACCAGAACGCAGTAAAATTGTAGTCGAAACCACACCGCATAAGCATAGTCCCTGGTAAATGAAAAACAATCAAATAATATTTTTGTGCTAAAAAAACGGAACAGATTTAAACGAATATTCTGCAGGCAGCATCCAAGTTAGTAGCTCTCAATTAATAATTACTGCAGTAATAATTAATATATTACTGCAGTATACTGAAAAATCTTCATTCTAAACGTTTCGCCTATCTAGATATTACAATCATCATTCCACATAGATTATATTGTCTTTGGGTCCCTATTTATTAAAAACTCTCTTATTGTACTAAATTTTGTCATTCTGCCAAAATTTTCCAATTTTTCTCAGTTTAAGTTTTTTGTCCATTTTGTGTCTAACATGTCTTTTTGTCCGGAGTTGAATTGTTTTTATCTACAGGGCAAGCAAGACAATGATTTATACTACTCTAATGCAACAAAATGATGGTTTATGATCCGACTGTAGCTTCATATCGCCCACTTTATTTATGGCACAGGATCCACAGCCTGGGTTAGTGCAAAAAATTCACACGAAGCTGATTTAGACTGGGTTTTCTGAAAGTATCACTTGGCAGTTTGATGTCTCCCAGAAAGATCAAATCAAACAGCCATCAGATCAACACAGCTGCAGTGGTCAAAAATCTGGAACAGTTACAGTGGTTGAACATAACACTTTTTAAAGGTGTGCGATGACTTGGAAACATTCATGCAACAGGAGCTATAACCCAGTTTTGATTTATAAACTATTACTGGTACTATCCTAAACGACTTTAAAATAGAGAAAGAAGCAGTGGAACAATTACCACTGGATCCATAAGCCTAAGCATATTTTTATTTATTAAATCTTCTAAAACATATCATTTTAATACAATTAATTAAAATGATAACATGGTACCACCTTGCAGACCTACTATTCTATTAGAAAATCTTCACTACTTTCCAACCAGCATTGTCATGCCGTGTATTTTTTTTTTTATTTGAAAATTCAATTTATCATTATATATATAAATCAAGCGTTACATTTCAGCCATGCAAAATTACAATGACATATTTTGATTACTAAATGAAAAATGGTACTGCAATATAAGTTGCTTAATGTTTGGCCGGATGACAACTAACGAGAAAAATAAACTTGATTATATAATAATTAATTCGGCTGAACCAACACATAGCAAGAGCCACATTAACGTTGGGGCCGTCAAAGACTGGACAAATAAAGACTTTGATATTTGTAACCTTAAATTTTCGTAGGCTCCTGCAGGGATTCCACCTGACCTCCAAAATTTCATGACCAAATCGACATACTCTGCCAGCGTATTCCTCTGTCAAGTTAAATGTGATGTGTGAGTGAGTAAGTGTAGTGTAAAGAGATCCTATTTTTATATCCAATTTGAATTCTAATAAAGACCCTAAGCATTATGATCAAATTTTTAGTACAATAGTTATATCAGGGTTGACATCTATGATTAATATTATAACCCAATATTCATTTCCTTTTCTCCCTTAAATTTAAACCCCCGGCCCCCATTGAACACCCAAAATACCTACCGTCCTTAATAATCGTAAAGACCATTCGTTACAAAATAGCTGCTAGAATAATGCATGCCAAATATTCCCTCTTACACCCACAAATTATAATGCCTTCCTATCAACGCCTCTAATTTGGTCATTAATCAACCAGACTAGCGTTTTGGTGCGTACAAATGCTACCAGCCAGTACATTCCTTGCCCCGCTAGTTGATTGTCAAAAAATCATACAGCTCAGAACAAACGGCCATTTACCACTAAGAGCATTATATGTTTTCATTTGTTTAAATTTTCTGCTGTAAAATGTGCTAAAACTTTGATTATTTGTTTAATTGAAAAAAAAATTGAAAAAACTGCACAAATGACTTTGGTTATAAACTTTGAAAAATATTCACAGCATCACCAAATACGAGGAAATTGCTAGTGAAGATTGTGCAAGATGTAATGTGCTGAAGGAAGTATCCTAAGAAGATCCTTGATCTTTTGGCCCCTTATTTAGCCCTTCAATAACCCTCAATCACAGTTTTCTGTTCATTTGGCTGAGTCAACTGAGGAGAAACACAAATACTATTTTAAATAATTGATTAATATCGATTACCAACAACCAAACATTAGTTATTCTCTAATAACCTTCTTATATGTGTTAAACGATCCATGGCCTATCGAAAATTCAATAATGAACTTTATATTATTAGTGCCGCGTGCTGATAAATATTCTGAAAATCAATCCACCCAATCGTGGCGATAACATATCTTTGTGCTTGGCCGGTTTTAGGTTTGAGTTTGTGCTCCAAAAGTGGTAAATCGGGTGCTAGTAAAGCTCTTGCAGGCTACTGGCTCCTTTTTCGTTTAATATCTTGACAATATTTAAAGTTTATGGTTTTAGGTTTAGGCGCGGCGCATCGCTTATATGTTATAGCTTCTTCATTTTCTGTTTTCTACATGCTAGCTTTCTTTATTTTTGTTAGTCGGCTGACATCTTGGGTTGTACTGGATGTAACAAGTTTATTATCGGATGTCTACTTATATTTATTATGATATCATTATTCATTGTAATGGCAATAAAATTTAAATATTGTTTTACTAAAATTTTGTTTTGCTAAAGTGCTAACATGCTTGGGAAAGCTAACAAACTTAGAGGAAAATAGATCTGATTTTTGTGTGAAGTGAGGCATATTTCTGTGACACATGACAGTAATAAACCAATCAGCTTCCGCCATTGATCAACAAATATACAGTGACTGCCTTATGAACAATGAACCAGTATACCATTCATTTTCCATTGGTCAGTTTCCATTAACACGTGACATTAGCCAAGTATTCGTTACTGAAGACTTGTCGAATTTGGTTTCATGAGTTTTATCCAGGGTGGCCATTTTAACAAGGCACAGGCGCGTTAAAATTAGATAGAATATATACTCCGAGGAACATCAAAGGGGACGTAGACCAGCAAGCCACTACTATCTGTGGCCTACAATTTTATTCCAGGGACAGACGACCAGCAGGAAAGTTTTTAAATTGTTATAATCGTGAACAATGTTCGTGACCTGACTGACGTTAATTTATAAAGTGCTGGGTGAGGACTCCCCTTCACCAAAGCACTTTACAAATTGAACTGATTTACCCTTATCACAAGTATTAAGTAATGTGACATGGGCCAATACGTTTTTTTAATTTGCTGGCTCAACTGTTGTTTCATGTTTAAATGTCTTTTGGTGACCACTTAACATGTACATGTTATGAGATATCACGTGACCAGAAGCCTAGAACATGCCTGAACAAGTGCAATTTGTTAGGTGACAAAGGTTACTAGGGAATGTCAATATTTGAATATGTTGTAGAAACTGGATTCATTGACGAAAATGTTATGTATGGCGGGTTTGAGAATGAAACTTGTTAGTTAAAAGATCTAAAAATGAGATTCAAAACTTCATTTAGCTAAACACTGAGAGCTGATTCAAAAATGCATTTAGTAAAGAACTCAATTGTTTGCTGTGAGCCGTGAAACGAGCTATAGGGTTATTCAAAATAAATTTAAATAATCCTTGTCACTTGTAGACGCTAAATTGAATAACAACTAGCACAAGTCGACGAGTCCAACTCGTTAAAAACTTAAAAGTAAAAACTGAAACGTAAATCGAATATAATTTTACATAATATAAACTTATGGATCAGGGTCATTTGTTTTGATTTGCTTTTTAAAATTTAAAATTTTGTTTTACTTAATTCGTGGCGCAGCCCTGCCCAGTTAAGTAGTGTATTACGCTACAATTTTTTAAAAACATTAGTAATTAGATGGACGGATATAAATTGATCCACGATATCAATCCTTCGCATGAGCTCGGCGAGGTCCAGTGGTGCATTTCGCCGATCTACTGGAGCTTTGGTTGCAGGTAGCATTATTTGATGCGCGGCGCGGCCCAGTAGTGTATCAAGCGACAAAACGGATGATTGATGGTACTAGTTTTAATTTTTTCAAAGAATTTATAGCGCGGCGCGCCTTTTTTCTCAAAAATATTATACCACAAATTATGCATAGGCCACAAATTTAACACATCCTGTTGCCCTATTCACTATTTGTG